GCAGAGGGAGCCGGTTTCCCCCTCCCTCAGGAATGCAGCCAGCTCCAGTTCCCTAAAGAGACAGGCTGAGGGTGTGGTCCCCTGTGTGCTGGGCCCATCCTAATTGAATGGTCACAGCACAGAGATTTAAATCACAGTGTCACAGGGCAGAGATTTTTTTGGGGAGAAACCAAGGTGGCTTTCTGCCACAAGCAGTACCTCCCATTTTCAAACCAGGAAAAAGGAAATCTATTTGAATTCCATGCTGAATTCATACATTTTGAAATACATTTTGACAGCTCAGTTTTCTACTTCATTTACACACACGTTACTTGCCAATATGATTTTACTCACTGCAGTTTAGTGCAGGGGTGGGCAAAATACAGCCTGCCAGGCCATTCTATCTGGCCTGGCAGGCTGTATTTTGCCCACCCTGGGCCTATCTAATGTGGCTGGAAAATGTACTAGCATGCCAAAGTTTGGGATCTTCCTCTTTTCTTTATGTTGCACAATGTTTCTAAGATGAGGAGTGATGAAAAAGGAGCAAGAAGAGAGGGAATCACTTCCCCGATGGCTCCCTCAACACAGGGAGATCACAGCAGTGACAGTGTGTCCAGCAGGACTTGTCCAGTATGGACTAAACAAGCTGGCACCCAAACAAGTGCTAGTTCACAACCCTCTTCCCACCCACTTGTGACAAATACCAGCTCAGCACAAAGTGAAGGAGCTCCATGAACCTGCTGTGTCTGCCCCTTCAACACCACGTGCCTTTCACAGCTTATTTTTAGACCAGTTGCAAATCATCTGAGCCAAATTTGCATGTTTTACACTCAGTCAACGCCCTCCTGATGCTCGGAGCCAGTATAAGTGCTCCAGGGCACTTGGCCCAGACTGGTGATCAGGACAGGCACAAGCACACGTACCAAGATGGTCTCACTGGCTGCCCTGCTCTGCCTCGTGGTGCTCTGGGTCCAGGGTAAGCAGCAAACTGGGAACTTCATTATAACAAAATCATCCTATTTTCAAAAATGAGCAGTCCTAGGAAATGGGTTTATCAGGTGCTTAAAAATGGTCAGAGAAATGCACTCCCTTTGGATAGATGGAGAGTTACAGAGACAAAAGACTTACTTAATCCCTATGACCAGCATCCAAAGCCCACTGGAGTGAACAGAAGTTTTTCCGTGGATGTCCATGGGCTGAGGCTGTAACTCTAGATGAGCAATGAAGAAAGGACTAGAAGGGAAAAAGCACTTCCAGCTGCTTGTTAGTGTCTCAGCCAGGAGACCAACTCACTCAGTTCTGTAAGGAGGCACACAAGGAACATTGCTCAAGCATCCATGTTGCCTAGTCGGGTCACTTAGCCCAAAGGAGACACTATGATAATTCAACTTTTGTTTTTACATCTAGGTTCCTCCGGGGAGATTGTGCTGACTCAGACCCCAGAGTCCCTGGCAGTGTCTCCAGGAGATCGAGTGACCATCAAGTGCAAAGCCAGCTCCAGCCTTACTGCTGGTAGCTATCAAGTGTTATCCTGGTACCAGCAGAAACCTGGACAAGCTACAAAGCTCCTCATCTATGATGCTGTCACCCGGCAATCGGGAGTCCCAGCCCGGTTCAGCGGCAGTGGCTCTGGCACTGATTTCACTCTGACGATCAGCAGTGTTGAACCTGAAGATGCTGGAGATTATTATTGTCAACAGTACAAAAGCTCACCTCACACAGTGATACAAACCCATACAAAAACCTCCCCAAGCTGCCCAGCCCAGCACCACAGCTGCTTCCTGAAGAGACACGTGATCGGCACAACTGCTCCACTCAGTACCAGCTCAGGGGTTTCCCCAGGACATCACTGTCTGAGCTGCAGATACCGTCACACTGCCCCTGTGGCCCAGCCTGCAGGACAGACCAGCCCAGCTGCACAGTCCAGGGGAGTCTGTTCCTAAGTCTGAGATTTCACCTTGTCTGTACTAGGGGCTCATTTCTTCTTCTAGTGGAAGATTTATTTTCTTCCTGAACACCAAGCGATCCCTTTTCCTCCCCATGCCACAAACACTGTGGCAGGCAGGGCCAGCCCGGGGCTTCACAGCCAGGGCTGCTGCAGGGAGGCCTGGCTCTCAGCTGGGAGGGCTGCAGAGGCTGCAAAAAAAGTCCATGCTGCTCTCGTCACCCGACATAGCAGATGCAGTGAGTGCCACTAACAGGATAACGTGGAGCCACACATGGCATTTCTCTGATACATGCAAGAAGGAATAGGAGCAATGACCCTTTGGAGGAGGGGAAGGGTCAGAAGATGTGTATTGTCTAGTCTTGAAGCGGGTGTGGTAGGAGTTGCTTTATCCGAGTCCCCCTTTTCCACTTCACGGGGCTGGTCTCTGCATCTCTCACCCTGCAATGAGTTTCCTTCAGCAGGCTAACTGCATCTCAAGAGCATAAATGCTTGCTTTCTTTGGAGCATTTCTTCTTTTACGCCCAGTCATTCAGGTCTGGGAGGAAAGGAGGGGAGGGCACAGACAGTAAAGAAGTTTTTCCATATGTCCATTCAAAAAAGGTCTTCTAGCAGTTTTTGACCCTTGAACCTGGTCTTCTTTCGGGGTGCCCTGGTGAACAGACGTTCTCCCAGTTCCTGGTGCACACCCTTTATATACTTATAGGTCACCACCAAGTCACCCCTGAGCCTTTATTTATCGAAGCTGAAGAGTCCTATGTTTCATTTTGAAATGTTTCTGATGTTCTAAAGCATATGATATATATTTTATTCTGGAACAACTTCCACATGCTGACATTTTATCCTTGTTCATGACAAAACAAAAGTTTGAGCAGTGGGCATCTCTTGGGGATTTTCAGCCCTAGACAGAAAGCAGCAGGTGATGAAACCATTGAAAATGAGCTTCCCATTAATAGTCAACAGATGGCAGCACTTCCCCTACAAATGCAACCATCTGAAATCCAAAATGTCATTCGAAGTAAATCTAATACGAAATCGCATACATTCGGAAATATTAGCTCTGTGAATTAATTCTCTGCTGATCTATGCAGGATGCAAGTAACATTCACTGGGCTTAATTCCCATTTTTTTCCCCATTTATAAAATCCCATTTACTTCCAGCAGCTGCCCTGGCTTCAACTAGCTAGTAAAACCAGAACCAATCCCATGGACTAAAACAGCTTTCCTCACATCTTCCTAGGATAGATTTAGTCCATGACAAAGAGCTTGCGGCGAGACATCCAGGATATTTAGAGCAGGCTGATCTTTCTCTGTTGCTCTGAGTGGCTACAAATAAATTGTCCCCCTCTCCCTCATTTACTGATTAGCACCTAACAGCTCAGAGGCTTGCAGATGATCACACAACTTTAGTTCATCTGGCTGCTAGTGGTTTGTGTAAGCATTCATATTAACAAGGTATTTGCCTTACAAGGCCATAGATGATGGTCTGGAACTTGTGCTTGGCATGAATCTGCAAACACAATCAAAGAATGTCACTGGTTGCTAGTCCTATTATAGACTATTATATTCATATGTTGAAGAAATATATATGATTGTAAAGGCACAGATTTAGCTGGCAAATGGAAAGTCAAAGGGTATTATTGTATTGGATGAAGCGCTTTGTCCTTCTTTGATTATATCCAGTTTGCACCTCAGACTTTAGCTCGGACATCTTCATGAATCAGGATCCAGTATTCACATTAGTCTCTCTACAGACTCAATGCAAAGCCGGTTCCAGCACGGATTACTTAGAGAGATGATTACCAAAATCTAGATCTGCCCAAAACTTGCTTTTAACTGGGCTTTTAACCAGGCCAAGAGCAGTAGATCTGGAAGTGATTTTATCTCACAGTCAACAGCATGAAGGCTGAGTTTGTAGGAGATGAGTATTGCCAGTAGCATGACAACTTCCCGAGACAGACCTGGACTAAATCCCCCTGTGCTGATCAAACCAATGTAAAAATGATTTCCTACCTAAAGTCACCTTCTCAAGCCAACTGCTGCCCTTGCTTTGGGACCCAGTACTGATCAGCCTTTCAGCCCCTCTACTGGAGGCAGCCATCTCCCCGTGCTCCCACTGCTTCCTCTCAAATGAAGAGGAGCATCACGGAGTGGGGCCTAGGAGTGGTCGTGATCCCTCTAGCGCCCCCTGCTGTGTCAAGTAGGCGATCCAGCACCCTCTTTTCTCGCCCGCCACGTCTTGTTGGTATGTAGTTTTAGATGCGAGGCTGCCTTCGATCCCCTTGGGCACAGTGCTATATTTGTACTGGCCCCTATTCCATATGGAGTGACCTGGTGCACCCCCAGCCTTATGGGCTATGCGTGCCTCCTACCTCCCCTTTAGCATGCCCCAAGCCCCGCAGCTCTTCCAGACGCTATCTGGTCCCTTTCCTTTCTGCGCCCTGCCAGGCACCCTTGGGCTTGTCACGCAACCGGCGCCTCTCTCTAGCGCCCCGGGCTTGTCACGCAACCGGCGCCCCTGCTCTAGCCGTTCGCCCTCTCGGGCTTACTAATAGTACTTGTCCCAAGTGGGCTCCAGCGGCCTGAACCTTACCTGGCCCCTTTGACCCTTCGGGGTTCCAATCACTGCGGAGCCCCTCTGGGACTCTTCCCAATTGGGCTCAGGCGGCCTGAGCCTTACCTGGCCCCTTTGACCCCTCGGGCTTCCAACCACTGTGGAGCCCCTCTGGTACTCCTTTCAGTCCGCACCCCTCCTGGGGTTTCTATCAATAATTGACCCTTCGGGGTTCCCACCACTGTGGAGCCCCTCTGGGACTCTTTCCAGTCCACACCCCCTCCTGGGGTCTGCTCCATATCCTCGCCCCTCCTGGGGCCTCTCCACGTATGTATGCCCACCCCTGGGGCTTCACGCCCTCTCTTGGGGCTTCTCTCAGAGACTGGCCCAATAGGACCTAGCCTGTATTCGTGCCTATGCACTCCTAGCCCTCCCCGGGCTTCTCAATAAGCTTATTCCCCTTTCGGGGCTTCTCCCGTACTTCTCCCAGTTGGGGCTCAGGTGGCCATAGCTGTGCCTGGCCCCCTTGACCACCGTCAGGGTCCTTCACCCTACTTGGGCTTCTCCGCCTATTGCCCACACAGGGCTGGGGTTAACACACCCCTGAACACAGCGCCACACCGGCACTAACAGCTGTGCCTACCCAGCACCGCTCACGGTACCCCGCAGGGCACCAGGAACCCCCAGATTGCTGGGGAGCTCCCCTGAGGCCTCCTCGCACCCCTGCAGCCTCACCCGGTCCTCCAGTTTATAGCAATAACAAACAAGAACGTAAAGTCCTAAGCCAACTGGCTATAACCGAAAACAAGCCTCCTGGCTAGAACTTAAGTGCTGTGCCATTATGGCCACTATGTTCCACCTTCAAACTTCACACTCAGGGTTCCCTCCAGCCTTACCCTGATGCAGCCCCTTGGGTGATTAGGTTGCACCGCTCGTCCTTGCTCTGCATGGCTCTACTTCAGAGCTCCTTCATCTCAGGCTACCAGCAGGGAACTGCCAGCTAGGCTTCGGCCTGGGCTGTTTATAAAGGCCCGGCCCTGCCCCCTCCTGGTCACCTGACCAGCATAGTTGCCCCAGCAACCGTCACCTGACCTGCCCTGGTGATTGGCAGCTGCCCTTTTTCCTTCCTAGGAACAGGGCACCTCAGTGCCCCTGTGACAAGGAGCCACTTCCAAGCCCAGGCATATCTGTTAGCAACATCACACAGATGGGCTCTCTCCTGCTGCATGAGCAATGGGGACATTTTCAGTATCCACCTGTTCAGCTTCAAGACCTGTACTCTGGCCACTAGTCACGGATTATTTCATCACAACTAACGGTCAGGAATTCAGATCTACAAAGCATCAACATTGTATTAATAACAAGAAAGTGGAGGGGAGACAAAGACAGCTGGAGAACCTTTACCAGGATAACTTTGAGCGTGACTTCTAGTGGGCAGGACAATACTAGAATAGCCCTGTAGATCCCCAGCTGTGGGCATCCCATCCTTACAGTGAGATTTTGGGGACTGCCTATTTCTGGTACATTTCTTATACATCACTATACTTGGGAACTGTTCTTACTATTTGTGACTCCTTCCCTCAGAAGCTTTAGAATAATTCTCTGCTGAGCTACCTTCCACCTTTACATTTAGGGAACCAAAGCATCCAGCACTCCTATAGGTATCCACAGAAAAAAAAAACACTCTAAAAAAAAAAAGGATCATTTATGTTTTTGCCTTCAGAAGCATCCTGTGAACAGATCCTAAGTGGCCATAACAAGTAAAACTTATCCTCATGCAAAACCAAAAATTAAGAATATTGTTCGAGAAGGTACTTAGTCAGCTCTCAGAAAATTTGGAGTTCAGAATCTCACGGCACCGGGACTTCTAGCGCAAGAATGAAAGAGGAGCAGGAGGTACAAAGGTGACCTGCAGCTGCAGCTCCCCAGCCACAGGGAGATCAGGTTGAGAGATGCCGTTATAATCTAAATGCAAGTATTGACACCCAACAAATCACCAACGGAGCACACTTTTCCAGCCCACTCTGGTAAATGCCATTACAGGAATCTAGCTCCTAAACTCCCTATTTAATATGACAGCTCCCAGGGATCTGCTTCAGGGCCTCCCATGTCTGCACTCAGGCAGGTCTGGGATCTAGGCTACACTCACGCCAAGAAATCAGAGGGTGGGAATATCAATACTGCTGGGAAACCTTTCCAGTAACAAGGGGGATTCATTTTTACTTATTCCAGGCAAAGGTGGACAGGGCAAAGGCTAGAAGAGCCATGTAAACCAACCACAGTGTAAGTTAGATGTGAACCAGAACACTTTGGGGGGATGGTAAGAGAATAGCAATGTATATTATAACTTACATTACATGGTAATTTTTATGTGCCACTTTCCCTAAGGGCTAAAGGGTACTACCAGCTGATCTGTTAATTAGCTCCAAAAAGCCCTAAGCGGACACTGTCCTGTCTGCCCCTACACAGACACCTCTCAGCATTAGCTAGCACAACACATGCTGGCTACAGTCCATGCTGGGGGAGAGGGGTCAGGCAGGTCTCTGCCAGAGCTCCAGCCAGGGAGCAGAGGGGTGCGACAGCCCTGCCCTGGAGCAGACAGTCCTGCCCAGAACTGCAAAGCTTCTTGGATCACTCCAACTGGTTTATGTGTAATGTCTGTCCCTAGCTTAAACAACTAACTAAAAACAGGGAAATGAAGGGGACAATTGAAGAATAGGAATTATATAAACAGGAACAAGGAAATGCTTATAAAAAATAAATCCCCTGGAGTTTCTCTCTCATGCACACACACGCACACACCCATTCACTGTTAATTTCTTTACCCATTCAGACTCAAATGGAAAGACGACCTGGGCTCAGACTCCATGCTGGATGGAGCACAGGTGTGGAGTCTGAGTCCAAATAGTCTTTCTAGAAGGACAGAGGCACCCAGCATGACAGAGGTGTACCAGTATACCAACTGGCACAAAAACCTGTTTGTGCTGTTCAGTTCGGTGTCATGGGTGTTTTGTGAACAGACTTCTGAGTTGCAACAAAGCCCGTTCTGTGCCCCCCTCCACGGCCTTCATCTTAGGTTTTCTCTTCATCACAATAAGGAAGTAAAGTCTGGTGACACGATGCTGGCCATGATCGCAGCAAAGGTCCAATAAGAAGGGAAATAAGTGCAGGTGTAGAGTGAGTAATGACTCCGTTTTTAATTAAGCATATTATCACACCTCATTTAACTCCAGCCATTAGCCAAGGGCATGTCTGAACACACTGTAGATGGTTCTGGGTAAGCTTATGGGTAGACGATCACATGCAAACAGCCAATAGCATGAACTTCTGTGTTATGGCCAAGAGATGGCAGCTCATAACTCACAATCTGGACCCCCTCTCATTCTAGAAAATTAATGCAACAATAAGCAAAACCCCAGACTTGCAGGGCTGAAAGGGACCTCAACAGGTCCCCTGCTCAGGACAGGAGCATCCATATCTAAACCCGATCATTCAAGTGTCTAATTTGCTCTTTAAAACTTCTGAGGATGGAGAGGCCCTATCACCTCTAGATAGCCTCTTCCAGCACTTACCTGCCCTTATAGTGATAAAGTTCTTCCCAAGATCCAATTTCAAATCCACTTGTTGCATTTTAGAGAATCACTGGGCACAAACCATGCAAACAAATGGAAAAAGGTTGGTGTTAGGGAAAATAGTCTCTCTCTAGGATACAAGTGACAAACACTGGGCTGATTCAGCGTTCACTTCAACCAGTGTTAGTCCATGGTGTAAAACTGGTGCAATTCAGATGCCCAGTGACCTCAACAGAAATGGCTGCAGTCTTGCCATTCAGAAATTAGGTCTTCTTGTTTCAGACCAATGAGATGAGAGGACTGACGTGCTCCCAACTGACTATTTTTTCCTGCTGTACTAAGTAATAGGTGCAGGCTGGTATTTTGTCCCCATGCTGCCTTGGACAGCACTGCACAGCTCAGATGCTTCAAGGCAAGCTCACTGGCTCCACTCACCTGGCTGTTTGTGCTTTGAATCCAGGGTAAAATTAAACCTAGGGAGAACTAGATGCAGTGAAAGGGAAGGCAGCTATTTAAAAAAACCCAACAACATCTCCCACAAGGAGATAAAGCAGGAAATAAGACCGCTTGAAGACTCCACACTTTTTCCTATAACCCAACGGCTCTCAGCAACCCTGCTATGAGCACTGAGAGGTTCCAGTCTAGTTCCACTGGCACAAATCTGGGGTTACTAAGAGCAAAAACTGGCCATTTGCCTCGACTAAAAAACCTTTTTCTGGTGGCAAAATGACCCCACACAGACATCCATGCCCCTTGTCACATCACAAATACCCAAAACCTGTGGCTGCAACAATGGCAATGCCTGCCCAGGTTCCCCCATTTGCAGAGCTCTGCCTTGGGGATTCCCAAGCAGGAGAATCTCCTGGTGTATATTGCTCTGCTCAGGCCCAACTCACGATACATCTCTGCCAACAAGGAGACCTGAGGTTTTCCTGCTTGCAGAGGCACAAGCAGAGTCCAACTGGGGGCACATCTCTGCAAACAGAGAAAGCCCAGTTTCCCCAATCACATAGGTGCGCCCAGGCGTTCAGACTCAGGGCACATCTCTGCAAACAGGGAACCCTATTTCCCCAGGCACACCACAGCACTACTTGGGCTCCCCCGTTTGGAGAAGCATGCCCCACATTTCATCCCATAGGATCCAATCCCTGCCACTATGGGCTCTTGACACTGCAGGATGGTGAGAATCTGTTCCACTCACTAGAAGCAAATTGGCTGTGCTAGGACACATCCCAACATCTGTTTACAGCCCATGAGAGCACACATGGGGGCATTATGGCATGGGACATGATGCAGAGTGGGGAAGTTCCTATCCTCTGCATGCAGCATTGAAGATGTGAGTTTTGGGGAAAGATTTACATGAAGACAAGTGGAAAGCTAATGAAACTGAGACTGTAGCAAGTCACTCTGTGTCAGGAAACACCATGGAAAAGCCATCAAGATGGAAGTAGAAAGGGGAAAATAAAGTCAAGATACTTTAACTGGAGAGGGAAAAGGATTTAAAGCATGCCATCACTTAAACAATATTAAGTATAGCACACCCAGGTGAGGTTTTCCCATTTTTTCCCTGTGAACACATACTAAGAGGTTGGAAGTGAGATCATACACAATGAGGTCCCTTTCTGAGCGAAGACCATTGGCTCCATGCTTCGAGATGTGGAGCAGAATTTCCACAGGATCCTCAGTGCTTTCAAAATCATTATCTGTTTTTATTATAATTATTTTAGATGCCTAAATATGGACTTTGGAGTTTAACCCCAGGCTGCAAAATTTAGAAAGCATTACCCCATGCCCAGAAAAAGACCAAGAATTGTTAGGAGATTCACAGTTATGACTCCAACAAAGCATCCTCTATTAAACAGGGCTTCTAAGCTGATCCTTGAGGGAGACAAAAATGCTTCTTAGGTCAAAGATGTGGGCTCCTGCTGCCCCCAACAGAGAAAGGCACAGTATTGATGGCATCGCAGGGAGATTTCCAGTGCAGTTGTGAGATTAGGCACATTGATTGAAACTAGTATCCAGGCACTGTGGATGACCTGGGACCACTAATCCCAGGCAAACCCAACATCTATGTATCTTCAACATGCTGACGGTTGGCAAAGGTCATTTCAACATAAAATGAGGTCCAAAGACCACATGCTTCTATGGGCTTGACTGGCATCTACTACAATGGGGTCCTGATCTTCACTGCACCAACTGGGCATGACTACAAACAAGCAAGCAGTAATAATAGCACCAAAGCCCATTCCAGTGCAAAGGGAGGGAGTGGGGGAAGCGTGGCTGGCTCCGTCTGGTTGCTCTTGTCCTCTGATACCCTGGCCATCTGGCCCCTGCATGTTTAGATCAGAGGGGGGTTCTCATATCTAACCTCAATTTGCATACTCCTTGCTCAAGTGACATCCCCTGTGCTGCTTAGAGCTGGTTTAAAACCTCCCGCATCTCTCGTCGCAGCCTGCTGATCAGCTTTGGACCTGTCACACGTACCAAAATGATCTTGCAGGCTCCACTCCTCTGGCTGTTACTGCTCTGCACCCACGGTAAGGAGCACACCCAGAGGGACCTGCATTAATTGTCAGGAAAGCTTCCTCAGAAAGAAGCTATAGGCCTAGAGCCTCTACCTGCCAAAACCTCAAGCTGCCTGTGCCTCCACTGGAGAGACAGACCTCCTTTCAGGTTTTTGGGTCTGATGCCAAGCCCATAGAGATGGGTGGGAGTTTAGAAATTCCCTGAACAGTTGCACAGCTGCCTACATTAGAAGAGCCAGGTGAATGTACCCAGACCACTTTTTATGAAGACAAGCATTGCTTGGTTTAACAAAGTGCATAGAAAAATGCAACAGTATAAATACCCTGTTTTTACCTTCAGGTTCAAGTGGGGACCGTGTGATGACTCAGACTCCAGAAGCCTTGGCCGTGTCTCCTGGTGACACAGTCACCATCAAATGCAAATGTAGCTCCAATCTTACCTATTCGGGCAGAGAATACCTATCCTGGTACCAGCAGAAACCTGGACAAGCTCCTGAGCTCCTCGTCTATGATTGTGTCACCCGGAAACCCGGAGTCCCAGCCCGGTTCAGTGGCACTGGGACTGGCACTGATTTCACTCTCACTGTCAGCAGCATTGAAGCCACAGATGCTGGAGATTATTACTGTCAGCAGTATTACAGCTTTCCTCTCACGGTGATACAACCCAGTACAAAAACCTCCCTGTGCTCTTCAGACCAGCATTGCAGGTGTTTCCTTAGCAGTCACCTTCACGGTACATCTGCTACACAGAGGGGCATATTTTCATCCTTGGTCAAATGACTGTACAACATCAGCCTCTAAATATGACCCTTAGCAGATAGCTCATCCACTCTCTCTTTCAGCAACAGAGAAGAAAATGGTTGGTGTACAGCACTGTGATTATGAGGATCAGACCATCAAGACCCAAGTTCACCCTTTTAAGTTCATTTCCCTTTTTTGCCAGGCAAATGACCCTTAACCTTCTCTTTGATACACTCAATAAATTGAGCTTTCCCTGTATGGCATGCTCTCCAATCTAGCAACCAGTTTCCTGGCTACGCCCTGAGCCCTCTGTAATTTTGTGACCACCTTCCCAAATTGTAGACATCAAAACTGCATATACAGTTTTCCAGTAGCCATCACTCCAGCATCAAACAAATGGAGGGGTCATCTCTACCTTACTCCAACTCAAGCTGCCCCCTTTATACAGTCAAGGAGCATAGTAGCCCTATAAGCCAGAGTCAAAACCAGAGTTTACTGTTAGGTCTTTAACCACCAGTCCTGCAGAAGGATACCCTTACATACTGCTGGGCTTCTGCTTGAGCAGTGGTATTGCTTGTACGTTCAATCAATTTGGATTTAAGACTGGAATGGGATGGCTGATTGTTTCGTTCCATTCATGCCACCCCTTACTCAAAATTAAGTACAACACACCCAGCTGAGGCTTTCCAGTTTTGCTCCTGGCAACACATACGAGGAGGTTGTGAGATCATACACAGCACTGCCTCAATGAGACCTCTTTCTGAGCAAGGACCATCTGCTCCACATCTGGAAGCATGGAGCTAAATTTCCATAGGATGCTCCAAGCTTTCAAAATCAGGGTAATTATTTTTAGATGCCTAAATATGGACCTTGGGGGTCTAACCCCAGGCTGGAAAGCTCAGAAACCATTACCACATACTCAGGAAAAGACCAAGCATTGTCAGGAGATTCACAGTTATGGGTCCAACAAAGCATCATCTATTAAACAGGGTTTCTAAGCTGACGCCTGAGAGAGGCAAAAACTGGTTCTTAGGTCAGACACTGGGGTTCCTGCTGCCCCAACAGGGGAAGTCACAGTACTGATGGCATCACAGGGAGATTTCCACTACTGTCATGAGACTAAGAATATTACATTTAAACTGGCATCCAGGCATTGGTGATCGCCTGAGAACACTGCTCCCAGTCAAACCTGAAATCTATTCATATTCAACCCGTTTACACTGGGGAAATGCCATTTCAACATAAAATGAGGTCCAAAGACCACATTCTCCTATGGATTTGACTGGCATCTACCACAATGGGGTCCCGATCCTCACTGCACCAACTGGGCATGACTACAAAGAAGCAAGCAGTAATAATAGCCCCAAAGCCCATTCCAGTGCAAAGGGAGGGAGGGGAGTGTGGCTGGCTCTGCCTGGTTGCACTCGTCCTCCGATACCCTGGCCGTCAGGTCCCTTCCTGTTTAGATCAGAGGGGTGTTCTCATATCAAACCCAAATTTACATATTTCATGCTCAGGCCACATCTCCCATGCTGCTTAGAGCTGATTTAAAGCCTCCCGCATCACTCGTTACAGCCTGCTGATCAGCTTTGGACCTGTCACATGTACCAAGATGATCTCGCAGGCTCCACTCCTCCGGCTATTCCTGCTCTGCATCCATGGTAAGGGGCACACCAAGGGGGACCTGGATTCATTAACAGCAAAGTTCCCTCTCAGAAAGAAGTGAGAGGTCTAGAGCTTCTGCCTGCAAAATCCTTGCTCTTGCCAAGAGGGCTCCACTAACCTCAGGCTGCCTGCGTCTCCCCTGGAGAGAGACAGACCTTCTTTCAGGTATTTGGGCCTGATGCCAAGCCCACAGAGGTGGATGGGAGTCCGCTGACTGCAGTGGATTTTCAGAAATTCCCTGAATGAACACATGGCTGCCTTGAGCTGAAAATGTCAGGTCAAAATTCCCACAGAGCTTTTCATAAAAGAGTACAGAACAATGCATCCCTGTAACTATCTATTCTTCCCTTCAGGCTCAAGTGGAGACCGTGTGATGACCCAGACTCCAGAGTCCCTGGCTGTGTCCCGTGGAGACACCACCACCATCAAGTGCAAATGCAGCTCCAGCCTCACATCCACAGGAAAGGAGTTCCTAGCCTGGTACCAGCAGAAACCTGGACAAGCTCCTAAACTCATCATCGCTTTTGCTTCCACGCGGCAACCGGGGGTCCCGGCCTGGTTCAGGGGCAGTGGGTCTGGAACGGATTTCACTCTCACCATCAGCAGGGTAGAAGCTGAAGACGCTGGAGATTATTACTGTCAGCAGCAGTATAGTGCCCTTCTCACAGTGATACAAACCAGTCCAAAAACTTCCCGGACCAGCACGGCAGGTGCTTCCTTAATAGCCACCTTCGTAGTCCCTCTGCTACACAGAGGGCACGTCTACATGAAATGATTGCTGCTGAGATTCCTTACTAGCTCCACATTAAAGTCTCCACATCTACATATATGGTGCTACTAGGCTGCAGTAAACTAATAAACACCAGCATAGGTTGGTTTTTGTAAATACAAGTACTATCCTGCAATGCTGTTATTTACTGCATACCAACGCATGTGTAGATGCTTAAGTGGCTGGCTGGGGCACAAAATTGCTTCAATGTGGCAGCTGCCTGCCAGGTAGCCCCACACTGGAGCACCCTCATGCCCCAGCCAGCCCCTTCATAGCACGTTGAGATGGATAGGAGCAGCCCTAGACTGGCAAGCTGACCCCTGCCCCCTAGCCCACTGCCAGCCACAGTTGCTCTGACTCAGCCCAAAGTGCTGCAGTCCTCGGCGCATGTGTAAACACAGTGCCCGGGAGCAATTAACTCTAGTGCAATATGCACCAGAGTGTATTGCTTTGCATTAATTACACATGTAGATTCACCCAGAAGGGTACATTTTTCTTTGATGAAATGACCTTACTCCTTCAACTTCCTAATGCGACTCTTGCCAGCTGCCTCATCCATTGTGACCTTCAGCACCAATCTCTGTATCCAGTGGCAGCATTGTGATGCTGGGGAACAGACCAGATAAACCCAAATAAACCCTTTCATGCCAGTTAAACCTCCCTTATCCGGTCTTCTAAAGAATTAAATAAATTGAGCTATAAGTCTATAAGTCTTTCCGCATATGCCTCTTTTTCCAACCCTGTGATTATATTCATGGCTCTTCCCTGAGCTCTCCTCAATTCTGCAACCTCTTTCTTGAATTCTGGACACTGGGTCTGTATGTGAAGGATTCAGGCGGCAATCATACCAGTGCTGTACACGGGGGTTATCTCATATCCCTACCCCACACAGTAGCCACAGTTATACAACCAAGGGGTATATTAGCCCTGTAGGCCAAAGGGTCAAAACTGGAACTTACAATTAGCTATTTATTTGTCTGGTCTCATCCATTACCCATCACAATTACCCTCAGACTCTTTAAGCGTCTGCCTCATTTCATACTATGCCCTGCATTTTTGTCTTGGTCGTGCTCAGCCTTCCACAGGAGCCATACTAATGACCAGGATGGGACATCTGATAAAGAGTAGTTACCATTCCCCCATGGGTTAGCTGCAGACTTTGGGGTAATGACTTAATATTTTCATTCATGGCAGATTTGGGTTGTTTTTTACAGGGACCACTCAAGTCCAGTAAGGACAGTACTGGCATCCAAGCAATAACAGAAGGGAAGACACTTACACACTCACTTTCACCCGAGACACGCATCAAAATGAGGAAGATGACAAAAATCAGACAGCTTAACAGTTATTTGCATCTTTCTGAATGCATTTTGGGATCAGTTTGCATCTTTCACACCAACTGATATCTTCCACTTCTGCAACAACAAGCACCGAGCTACTCAGATGCATCAAGAAGTCCTCATCATCTGCTCATATGCGCCAAAAGGATCTCTAACCTGTTCAGCTGCTCTGCCTTTTAGTGCTCTGGATCCAGGATAAGGAACAAACCAAGATGGCAGTGGCTTGATTTAAAGTCAAATCATGTTCTAGGATTACATTTAAAAATATAAATTAATATAGTATCATTACAAACAGTCCACAGAGTATGACACTAACTTCCCTGCATGCTTCTGATATTTCACAAGCAGTTAGGTTCTGATCCAGTAAAAGATCGATTTAGTACGCTGGCCTTAGGATCAAAACACTGTTAGCCCCAGTGACTTCACTGGGAATAATTGCAGCCTTGCCATTCAGAAACCAGTCCTCCAATATCTCAGATTATTAAGACAAGAGGCTTAGTGCGCTCACAACTGATTTATCTTTTCCTGCTGCGCTTAGTTATAGGTTGGCATTTTATTCCTCATACTTCATTGATCACCAAGGGGCAGCTCAGATGCAGCAGGTCAAATCTCATAGATGTAGCTCACCTGGCTGTTAATGCTCGAGGCCAGGGTAAAACTTAAATGAGAAGTGAATGCATTAAAAGGGGACGTCTACTATTTAAAAACTCCTCCACTGAGCTATAGCAAGAATCAAAACCACTTGGGGAACTCAGCACTTCTCACTGAAGTCCAACCTGCTCCAAGTCGTACTGCTCTAAGTGTAGAGCAGGAGCACCCAAACGTGTTGCCCTGTGGGCCAGATGGGCAGTGCCAGGCCCATCCACAGGCCAGATCCAACTAGCGGACGCAGTCTGGCCCAGGGTCCAGGCATGGCAGAGGGGGCAATCCAGTGCAGGGAGTGGGTGCAGCCATGGCCTGATCCAGCTACTCAGCAGTGGCCCAGGTCCCAATCCAGTTGCATAGCAATGGCCCAGACATGATCCATCCCCATGGCAGCAACCTGGGCCAGATCCAACCACACAGGGCTTAGAAATTTAGTGGAGGGAAACAATGGCAGTACCAGTTGCCACCACTCCCTACTGCCAAATTTCTCAACCTGTGGGGAGCCCTGAGGGCCAGATTTGGCCTGTGGGCCAGGGGTTGAGCACCCTTGGTGCAGAGAGTTCCCTTATAGTCAAACTGGCACAAATTTAGAGTCACTGAGGGCAGAAGCCAGCCTAACTAAAAAGGGTATTTTCTTTGAATGATGGAAAATAAACACACAGAACGTCTCCACTCAGTTGAAAGAAAGAGCTCGTGCCACATGTTGTTGCAAGGAGAAAACTGGTGCAAGACTGACAGTAGCCAGCACCCAACATGAACAATACTGTCATCCCACACACAGGTCTGGGGGCGCACAGGTCTGGCACAGGCCCGCAGCCCTCCTGGGGGGCACAGGCCCCTGGATCTGCACATGGGTTGGCAGCAGGCTGGGGCCAATGCCTGTCACTCGGCGCAGGCTGTGCCAGGCAGACTCAGGTGCTGGCACTGGACCCAGCCAACAGCAGCAGTCTGCTGTCATCCCATGTACAGATCCTGGGGCCCACACCCCCGAGGAGGACTCCAGCTCAGACCCACAGTCCTTCAGGTGCTGTTTTGCACAGCCCTAATGGAAAGTGAAGAGTAGGAAGAGGATTCTTATACCTAGATGTGAATTGGGATTGGGCTGCCCAGAAGGCTTGCTTCTCATGGCTTATAGGCAGGGCAGTGGTACCTGGGGTGGAGCTTTCAACTTTTGGGATGTAATTTGGGGAATCTAGTGTTGTTTCTTATAGGATGGATGGGGTGAGCTGTTTAAATCTAGAGAGGCTGTACATGAAAATGTAAGAAATGTTGTCAGGGGCAATCACTAGCTTCTGAGGAAATCAGTTTTATTTCACCCATCAAAGTAAAAGTGAATGACTGTAATAAAGGTTTGAGTGATAGAGAAAAGGGTTTAGGGATGAGAGCCTAATGTACAGTACTAGTACCATGCGGTAGGCTGCAATAACTGCCTAACGGTGTCAGTGGTATATTTAAGCAAGCCTGGTATGGTTACGTACATACTGGCTACACATCACGTTAGTAATTATATCTCATTCATGAATTCAGATGCCAGAGGGGACATTGTGCTGGCTCAGACTCCAGAGTCCATGTTGGCATTTCTGGGGGACACTGTCACCATCCTCTGCAAAGCCAGCTCCAGCCTTGTAGGATTTAAAAAGCACAACTACTTAGCCTAGTACCAGCAGAAACCTGGGCAAGTGCCTAAGCCCCTTGTCTATTTTCGGGGTTCCTCCCTTGAATCCAAAGTCCCAGATTGACTCCGTGTTGGAGGGTTTGAAACCCATTTCACTCTCACAATTAGCAACATCAAAGCTGAAGGTGCTGGAGATTATTACTCTCAGCAGCACCTCGCCGTCCCTCTCACAGTGCTAGACCAGCACAAAAACCTCCCCAAGTGGTTCAGGTCACAATAGCAAATATTTCCTAAACCATCCTCTTTTTTTAACACAGTGACTACCTTTATTGAAGGGCACCACACACTGCACTCATGATCTTTATCTGTGTACTTATATACAAACATTTTCCTGAAAACATTTTCTTCCTTATGAAAGTATCTAATTTGCCAACATTTTCTCCTGGCTCAAATGACTTCATTCCCTCTGGTTCTGACATGATTTTCCAGCTCCTTCATGAACTCTGCTTGTCACCATCAAAAGAAAAAGTGTTTAATGGCAGCATTGTCATGTTGAGGGACAGACCCCATGGCCTCAGGGGTAAGGAAACCATGGCAGAGAGGACTCTAAAACTTGAATTTGAACTCAGGAGGGAAGGAACAACTCACTGCACTTTCTGACAGATCCAGGTCCTACGTCGCTGCATCCTCTTCTGCTAGAGGACCTTCAGCAGCCCTGTGAGGCATGAAGGCGAGGTACAAAGGTAAAGGCTACATAACACTTTGGGGGTCAGAAAAAGGTGGTTTTCATATTTCTTCCTTAAGTTACTCGATTTAGATGATAAAGGAACTGGAAGCCTGAGCATTGGATTTCTATAAATCTTGATTTCAAGGTTATTGGGTATGATCTCCTGCCTAACACAGGAATCCACAGCCCAATGAAGCTCGCTGCGTAGAGAAATTTTCTCTGGCCAGCAACGGAGAAACCTAGCATATGAGCACCTGGGCTTGAACGAGATGAGATAAGCAGGAATCACAGGACAGCAATGATAACCCACATTAAGGGGGCACCTCCATGGCAGACGAGTGGGGAAAGGCCTTCTTTCTTTGCGGTGCCTGTATTTTTACATTTGAGGAGTGGGATTGGTTCTATCAAACTGAACTTTAAGATGGAAAGTTGCGACTGAAGTGAAGTCAAGGTCTCTTCATGGATGCTGGGGGAGTTGTACCTACTAGCCAGAGCCAGACTGCCTACATCCCTGCCTAACTCCTGGTACTCAGACTCACTAGTAACTGTGACCCTTGGATCTTGGGCTTCCCAGCCTTGTGTCCTTACCCCTTAACCCTAACCCCACCCCCATACCTGGACTGGGCCTAAGACAAGACATGAGTAGGACCTCATCCTAGTCAATGCATGCAAGGGCAGT